TGATTAATAAAAAGTTTTCCGATTATTCTAATACAACACTAATTTATAAATCCTATAGTATAGCTCAATACATAATGGATTTGTATTTGATGATTAATAAAAAGTTTTCCGATTATTCTAATACAACACTAATTTATAAATCCTATAGTATAGCTCAATACATGATCGAATTGTATTTGATGATTAATAAAAAGTTTTCCGATTAATCTAATACAACACTAATTTATAAATCCTATAGTATAGCTCAATACATGATCGAATTGTATTTGATGATTAATAAAAAGTTTTCCGATTATTCTAATACAACACTAATTTATAAATCCTATAGTATAGCTCAATACATAATGGATTTGTATTTGATGATTAATAAAAAGTTTTCCGATTATTCTAATACAACACTAATTTATAAATCCTATAGTATAGCTCAATACATGATCGAATTGTATTTGATGATTAATAAAAAGTTTTCCGATTAATCTAATACAACACTAATTTATAAATACTATAGTATAGCTCAATACATGATCGAATTGTATTTGATGATTAATAAAAAGTTTTCCGATTATTCTAATACAACACTAATTTATAAATCCTATAGTATAGCTCAATACATGATCGAATTGTATTTGATGATTAATAAAAAGTTTTCCGATTATTCTAATACAACACTAATTTATAAATCCTATAGTATAGCTCAATACATGATCGAATTGTATTTGATGATTAATAAAAAGTTTTCCGATTATTCTAATACAACACTAATTTATAAATCCTATAGTATAGCTCAATACATAATGGATTTGTATTTGATGATTAATAAAAAGTTTTCCGATTATTCTAATACAACACTAATTTATAAATCCTATAGTATAGCTCAATACATGATCGAATTGTATTTGATGATTAATAAAAAGTTTTCCGATTATTCTAATACAACACTAATTTATAAATCCTATAGTATAGCTCAATACATAATGGATTTGTATTTGATGATTAATAAAAAGTTTTCCGATTATTCTAATACAACACTAATTTATAAATCCTATAGTATAGCTCAATACATGATCGAATTGTATTTGATGATTAATAAAAAGTTTTCCGATTAATCTAATACAACACTAATTTATAAATACTATAGTATAGCTCAATACATGATCGAATTGTATTTGATGATTAATAAAAAGTTTTCCGATTATTCTAATACAACACTAATTTATAAATCCTATAGTATAGCTCAATACATGATCGAATTGTATTTGATGATTAATAAAAAGTTTTCCGATTATTCTAATACAACACTAATTTATAAATCCTATAGTATAGCTCAATACATAATGGATTTGTATTTGATGATTAATAAAAAGTTTTCCGATTATTCTAATACAACACTAATTTATAAATCCTATAGTATAGCTCAATACATGATCGAATTGTATTTGATGATTAATAAAAAGTTTTCCGATTAATCTAATACAACACTAATTTATAAATCCTATAGTATAGCTCAATACATGATCGAATTGTATTTGATGATTAATAAAAAGTTTTCCGATTATTCTAATACAACACTAATTTATAAATCCTATAGTATAGCTCAATACATAATGGATTTGTATTTGATGATTAATAAAAAGTTTTCCGATTATTCTAATACAACACTAATTTATAAATCCTATAGTATAGCTCAATACATGATCGAATTGTATTTGATGATTAATAAAAAGTTTTCCGATTAATCTAATACAACACTAATTTATAAATACTATAGTATAGCTCAATACATGATCGAATTGTATTTGATTATTAATAAAAAGTTTTCCGATTATTCTAATACAACACTAATTTAAAAATCCTATAGTATAGCTCAATAAATAATGGATTTGTATTTGATGATTAATAAAAAGTTTTCCGATTATTCTAATACAACACTAATTTATAAATCCTATAGTATAGCTCAATACATAATGGATTTGTATTTGATGATTAATAAAAAGTTTTCCGATTATTCTAATACAACACTAATTTATAAATCCTATAGTATAGCTCAATACATGATCGAATTGTATTTGATGATTAATAAAAAGTTTTCCGATTATTCTAATACAACACTAATTTATAAATCCTATAGTATAGCTCAATACATGATCGAATTGTATTTGATGATTAATAAAAAGTTTTCCGATTATTCTAATACAACACTAATTTATAAATCCTATAGTATAGCTCAATACATAATGGATTTGTATTTGATGATTAATAAAAAGTTTTCCGATTATTTTAATACAACATTAATTTATAAATCCTATAGTATAGCTCAATACATGATCGAATTGTATTTGATGATTAATAAAAAGTTTTCCGATTAATCTAATACAACACTAATTTATAAATCCTATAGTATAGCTCAATACATGATCGAATTGTATTTGATGATTAATAAAAAGTTTTCCGATTATTCTAATACAACACTAATTTATAAATACTATAGTATAGCTCAATACATAATGGATTTGTATTTGATGATTAATAAAAAGTTTTCCGATTATTCTAATACAACACTAATTTATAAATCCTATAGTATAGCTCAATACATGATCGAATTGTATTTGATGATTAATAAAAAGTTTTCCGATTAATCTAATACAACACTAATTTATAAATCCTATAGTATAGCTCAATACATGATCGAATTGTATTTGATGATTAATAAAAAGTTTTCCGATTATTCTAATACAACACTAATTTATAAATACTATAGTATAGCTCAATACATAATGGATTTGTATTTGATGATTAATAAAAAGTTTTCCGATTATTCTAATACAACACTAATTTATAAATCCTATAGTATAGCTCAATACATGATCGAATTGTATTTGATGATTAATAAAAAGTTTTCCGATTAATCTAATACAACACTAATTTATAAATACTATAGTATAGCTCAATACATGATCGAATTGTATTTGATTATTAATAAAAAGTTTTCCGATTATTCTAATACAACACTAATTTAAAAATCCTATAGTATAGCTCAATAAATAATGGATTTGTATTTGATGATTAATAAAAAGTTTTCCGATTATTCTAATACAACACTAATTTATAAATCCTATAGTATAGCTCAATACATGATCGAATTGTATTTGATGATTAATAAAAAGTTTTCCGATTATTCTAATACAACATTAATTTATAAATCCTATAGTATAGCTCAATACATAATGGATTTGTATTTGATGATTAATAAAAAGTTTTCCGATTATTCTAATACAACACTAATTTATAAATCCTATAGTATAGCTCAATACATGATCGAATTGTATTTGATGATTAATAAAAAGTTTTCCGATTAATCTAATACAACACTAATTTATAAATACTATAGTATAGCTCAATACATGATCGAATTGTATTTGATTATTAATAAAAAGTTTTCCGATTATTCTAATACATCACTAATTTAAAAATCCTATAGTATAGCTCAATACATAATGGATTTGTATTTGATGATTAATAAAAAGTTTTCCGATTAATCTAATACAACACTAATTTATAAATCCTATAGTATAGCTCAATACATGATCGAATTGTATTTGATTATTAATAAAAAGTTTTCCGATTATTCTAATACAACACTAATTTATAAATCCTATAGTATAGCTCAAAACATGATCGAATTGTATTTGATGATTAATAAAAAGTTTTCCGATTATTCTAATACAACACTAATTTATAAATCCTATAGTATAGCTCAATACATAATGGATTTGTATTTGATGATTAATAAAAAGTTTTCCGATTAATCTAATACAACACTAATTTATAAATACTATAGTATAGCTCAATACATGATCGAATTATATTTGATGATTAATAAAAAGTTTTCCGATTATTCTAATACAACACTAATTTATAAATCCTATAGTATAGCTCAATACATGATCGAATTGTATTTGATTATTAATAAAAAGTTTTCCGATTATTCTAATACAACACTAATTTATAAATCCTATAGTATAGCTCAATACATGATCGAATTGTATTTGATTATTAATAAAAAGTTTTCCGATTATTCTAATACAACACTAATTTATAAATCCTATAGTATAGCTCAATACATAATGGATTTGTATTTGATGATTAATAAAAAGTTTTCCGATTAATCTAATACAACACTAATTTATAAATACTATAGTATAGCTCAATACATGATCGAATTGTATTTGATGATTAATAAAAAGTTTTCCGATTATTCTAATACAACACTAATTTATAAATCCTATAGTATTGGTCTATTATAAATAGGTTGAAAATCATTAGTTTCTATAATTATAGCGGCTATCTAGAAACAGAAAAAATTAATAACTGTTCATTTAGGTTATCAAATGTTGCGGTATGACAAAATAAACTAAACATTTGACATGTATAATATATAATAACTTGGAATTACAAAATATACTCAACTATACATATGTAGGGTATAAAATTTTAATGCAAATAATTTTTCAATACATTATTAGTAGTCATCTATTATAATCTAATGTCAGAATTTTAAATTTCGCAAAAATATATGCTACAGACAGACACACAGACTCAAAATGGTTTCGTATAGATTTCAGTAAATAAAACTTTATTTTTTTAATATAATATTTTATTTATTAAAAAAAAATACAATTTATGATTTAATTTAATTAAAAACGGGCTTTAATTAAGGGCTTTAGTTATTTTTAAATTTGTGTTCAATAATTCATATAATGGGATATACTGTATGTAATGATTTTAATAATTTTTGTTTGTTTATGTATTACAATATTATTATCTGTTTATTGTTAATATATTTTATGTATTTAAAAACTATTTAATTTCTATCAAAAAGTATTTTTTTTTAAACTATAAAATTATTGGATAATAAAATTTTATTTAACTATTTATTAAATGAAACGTATTATTTGATTAAAAATTAAAAAAACAGATGAAAATTACAGCAATTTTTTAATTATATGAATAAATCATATTTTTTCTAAATATTAAAAAAAATATTGAATGAAATCAATAATACAAATGTTTCAAATAATTCAAATACAGATTATAATAATAATAATAATAATTACAAAACACGTGTCAATCAGTTGAATACAATAGAGAGAGAAAAATGATTAGTCATTACAACTCTTGGCTGGCCTTTGACGATGACTTATGTCCGCCGCCGGCGGACTCAGACTTTTTCGGCAATAGTACCGAATGAATGTTAGGCAAAACGCCGCCCTGACTGATGGTCACACCGGCCAACAGTTTATTCAGTTCTTCATCGTTACGTACGGCCAGCTGTAGATGTCGGGGAACTATTCGGGACTTTTTGTTATCGCGAGCAGCATTGCCGGCCAACTCAAGGACTTCGGCAGCCAAATACTCCAATACGGCGGCCAAATAGACGGGAGCGCCGGCACCCACTCGTTCAGCAAAGTTACCTATTATTTGAAATTGAAATAACAATAATTAAAAAAAAATGACATCAAATAACATCAGTTTTATCAGTTGATCCGTCAATCGATCAATCCGTCCATCAATTCATTACCTTTGCGTAGAAGACGATGAATACGTCCGACGGGAAACTGTAGGCCAGCTCTAGACGATCGGCTCTTTGCCTTACTCTTCACTTTACCACCTTTTCCTCTGCCGGACATTATTTGTATGTCTTTTAGTAAATTAATTAATAGATGAAAATGAAGTGACAATTGATTGCTGAATGAATGTCTCAAATGAAATGCAATTCAATCACTAAATGAATGACTGATTGTTTGACTGAATAATACAGTAATAAGTGTTTTGCGCCAAAAGTATCGCTACTTTTATACCCCCTCTGTATACGCAAAACGCTGTGAACCGGCAGTCAGCCAATCATCGATCAGTTAACAAATTCAGAGTCGATTTCAATCATCCAATCAGAAACTGTTTGTCAGAAACTTAATAATATTACTGTAATATACACTCAATGTATTGGAAACAACAATTCATAAACAACGTATAGTCCGGGGAATGGGTGGGGTAAGTGTTTTTTTTTCTGAACCCCTTATTATTTACACTGTGTATTGCCTTAAGTATTGTATTAATAATTATTGGTGTAATATATGTGTGTTGGTGTTTGTTACGTTATATGTGATTTGGATTATTTTTTGGTACATTAATATTACAGTAAAAATTTTTACTGTAATATTGAGTTAATATTTTCTATAGAAAATCTATAGACATTAGACATTAATAATTGTAATACTAATCCAATGGAAACTTTTTGTTTTGTTTTAGTCAACAATTATTATAATACAATTGTACTTACGTTATAATTGTCTACTGTTTAAGATTGACTATAAATTAATACTCAAAATGTATTAATAGTTAAGTAAAAAAGTTATTATTATTTATTTTTTTTTGGCGCAAATGTATTGCAAAATGTATTTTAGTTTTTAACAGTGTTTTGAATCACTAGTAGTGCCAGACATGCGCTATGAGTATCACAACAACAACAACACACATAAGTGATGACTGTTTATATTCAATACAAACTTTTTTGTTATTATTATTATTTAGTTAATTGAAATCATATGTCTTAAACAAATAGTGATTTTTTGTTTGTTTGGTGGATCAGCTTTACTAGTGATCTGTTAAGAAGATATAAAAATACAAAATGAATACTATTATACAGATACTGATCAACTGTTTGATGTCGATGACAGCCTTTTATATTACTTTGAAAGCTATACCACAAGTCAGACAATTGTTCATCAAAGCCAACCTCTTTGGTATCGATCAATGCAAACAAAATAAAGACAAAAAAGTGTTTGTTTTTTATTATATAATAATAACTTTATTATTATTATTACTATTGACTGATAATTTGAATTAAATTTAACGATATGTTTGATGTCTATTGTCGTCAACTGTAGGGCCGAATCCCAGGGAGTGGTCGCCGGCTGTGTATATCTGGTGGTAATGTTTCTGTTTATTCCCATACCGTTCACGTCCTCTCAACCGCTCGGCAATGAATGGCTGTTTACTCTCGAAGATTTTAGACACGAAGTGGTCGGTATATATATCCCGTGAAAGTTATATAAATATTATTTTGCTTAAGATTTTTTGACCAAACAGTTCGCTCAATTCATAAGTGCTTTGCTATCCATCTGTTGTATGATATTCTTGGGCTTTGCCGACGATGTACTCGACCTAAGATGGCGTACAAAACTATTGCTGCCAACGATAGCAACTCTACCGCTGTTAATGGTCTACGGTATTACATATAACAATACAACAGTAATAGTTCCCAAACCGTTACGCGATTTAGTTGGCTATAGTGTTAATTTGGGACCAATTTATTACCTGTATTTGGCAATGTTAGCCGTATTCTGTACGAATGCCATCAACATTGTGGCCGGAATTAACGGTATAGAGGCCGGTCAGGGTCTGGTCATTGGACTATCGATAATAGTCTACAATATAATCGAGTTTATCGGGTCATCGGATCAATGGCAGTGTCATCTGTTTTCATTGCACTTTATGCTGCCGTTTGTTGCCGTAACGGCAGCCCTACTCTACCATAACTGGTATCCGTCGCAAGTGTTTGTCGGCGACACGTATTGCTATTTTGCCGGAATGACCTTCGCTGTGGTCGGCATTTTGGGTCACTTTTCGAAAACAATGCTATTGTTTTTCATACCACAAGTGTTTAACTTTTTGTTTTCTTGTCCACAATTGTTTCATTTTGTCGACTGTCCCCGACATAGACTACCCAAGTATGTAATCATAATAATAATGAGTAGACTTTTAGTTTTAAATTGTAATTTTTTATCATCTATTAAATAGATATGATGTCAAAACCGATAGAGTATACGCCAGTACTTTCCGATTGAAGACCAATGAAACCAAACCGTTGGGCGCATTGTTTATTGCAATACTTCGTACTTTACGTTTAGTTGAATACCGAAAGGTTAGCGACAACGACGCCGATCCAAAAAACAAGACATTAGTGGCCACCGGTGTTGTCGGCGTCAACGATACCTACGAGTGCTCTAATCTGACGATAATTAATCTAATTTTAGTCAAATTCGGTCCAATGAATGAAAAATATGTTACAATTATATTGTTAATCATTCAATGTTTGTGCACTTGTTTAGCATTTTTCATACGTTACGGAATAAGTCGTATATTTTATTGATATTTAATAACTAATTTTAAAATTTAAAAAAATCTATAGAAATAATATTTAATTAATAAACATATATATATATATATATTTGACATTAATTGCAATAGAGATTTCTATTTAAATTTTATTTTTCCAATTCATTGTATCATAAATTTACCAAAAGTTAAAAAAAATTGAAATAAATGTATTTATAATTTGAGTTAAATTTTTTTTGTGTGAATAATTTCAGATAAGTTATGTGACATATCTAATGATTACTGCAAATGTTTTTTTTAATGTTTCTATTAAATTGTCTTTTTTTAGTTATATATGAAATTAAAATTTTATTTATGTTAATCGTAAAATGATTTGTTATTTTTTTTGTTGTTGTTGAATATATATATATTGTATATATGATTGAAATTTATGTCAAAAAGTACCGGTAATTTGTTTAACTATTATTATTATTATAACTAGTGAATTACGGTAATAGTATTTTTTATAATATTTTTTTGGATATTTTTTAATTATTAAATATTGATTTATAAGAGTATAATATTTTTGTTGTAAATATTATGTTAATAACACCTAATACTGTGAGATGAAAATAGTTATATAAATATATAAGTATATAAATGATAATAATTTTTAATATATATTTTGTATTGAATTTATTATAATCATATAAAAATTTGTTTTCATATAGCAGTTAGATTTTTTTTATTTTTTAAATATCACCTAGATCAATATGTCAATTACTGTACAAAATACAGGCGCATAACCTCTGGTTACTATCGATATACATATTTATAAATATTTAAAGAAATAAATAAATTTTATAATAAAAAGATAAACAAATTTTTATTTGTCTAATTTTTAAAAAATATTTTTTAATTTTATTTTATAAACTGTAACAAATAAAATCATCTAAATATTAGTATTATAAATAAAAATAAAAATATTAAAATTATTAGAAGAGAGTATAAAACCTTTTTTTTTACTATTATAATAATTAATTTATTATTAATAATATATAATACGTAATCATCACTAGCAAACTTATCTTTATATTATTATTTTTTAATTAAATATTAAATAAACATAAATACAATAAGATTTTTATATTTATTTATGAGTAAATATTTTGTTTGTAGTTATTGTTGAAGATATTTAAGTGTTAAATCATTAAATCCTTTAAGTGTTATAAATATTTATTTATTTATTTATTTTTTGGAAGTATTATTTGAAAAATGATAGTATACTTGACAATAATTGAAGAATATTTTGTTTGTTTGTTTTGTTATTACTATTATATATATACTGTATATTAAACAGCAATATTTAAAAAAAACTATTTTATTAGTTCAAACTTTGACATTACCTGTACTATTGAATATCTAAATAAATATTAATGAGTTTTTTCTTCAAATATTTTATTTTTACAAATATATAAATTTATATATATATATATATAACTTTTTTTTTGGCTAATATATTGCATTTGAAAGTAGAAATTTAAATTGATTTTTTACAGTCACAGTATATAAATACCAGTGGATCTCTTTAGGATTTTATTTAACATTTTTAAAAATATTAATGGTCTCTCTCTCTCTCTCTCTCTCTCTCTCTCTCTCTCTCTCTCTCTCTCTCTCTCTCTCTCTCTCTCTCTCTCTCTCTCTCTTATTTTACTCACTCACTCAATCAATCATAGAATCAAACAATTTAAAGATTTAAAGGCAAATTCAATACATATCTCTCTCTATATATACCGGTATAATACATGTTTTTTCTAATACTGTATATATATATATATATACAGTACAGTAATTTTATTCTCAAAAGTTTGTATTACATAACTTACAGTATATTATATTAAATAAAATACTGTATATTATATACATATATAAGAAATGCATTTTTTCTATTCCTAACCAAACGTTTTATATATATATATATATATATATATAATATTCTTATATTACAGAATCTTATTTTTTGAAAAACTACTGTATAAATACATTGAAACTAGATGTGAGAAAATTAGATAGAATTTTTGTTTTTTATTAAACCAATCCGAAAATTCAAATATAAATTTTATCCGATATTATTTAAAAATATTCAATTTCAAAAAATTTGATTTTTTTTTGTTTGTTTGTTTTATACTTAAGTTATTTTCATATTAATTATTTTAATTAATATCACAGTAATTCTAATAATAATTCTAATAATAATAAGCAATAGAAATAATAATTATAAAATTAAATTTTTAGCACTAAAATTGTTATTAATTATATTTTCTTACTAAGTTATAATACCTAATTATTTTATGTTTTGTTATGTTTGATACAAATTTAAGTTTTGAATTATCCGATCCAATAAAGGTTTGATCTATTAATCTAAACTCTATTTTATTTAAACATATTTATATAACAATATGTTATATATATATTGTATATAGAAATACACGCACATATATATTAATATAATATATATATATATATATTATATTAATGTTTTTTAAGTTAAAGCAATCGATCTCTAAATTTATAGTCGAAATCGATTACAATCTGTTTTTCTAAACTAAAAGATTTTTGTGTTGTTTTTATTATTTTTATATTTATTTCCAGAATAAATATATATATATATAAATTTATATATTATTAATATATATATATATACTATATTTCTGGTTATAGGAAAATACATCGACACCAGAGACTTGTTTCTTAAGTAAAAGGCTTTTCAAGACATATGAAATCAAATAAATAAGAAAAACCTTTTGGTATATGTTTTGCTCGATGTTTATCAGGAATTTTGAGATAAGGGATATATATATATATATATATATATGTATATATAAAGAGAGAGAGAGAGAGAGAGAGAGAGATAAGAAAAACAAGTACACAAATATTTGGTAATAGCCTACATATATAATACAGTATAATATATTAATAAATACTACTGTAATGTATATATATTTATTTTGTTTTGAATATTTATCTAATATATTAAATTTATTATGTAGATATTATTATTATTATTAAATACATTTGTCTTATAAATACATATATATATATCATATAATTTATATACTGTATGTATATATCATAAATATATTGTTTACATTTGTTTTCACAATTCTCTTTTGATAATAAAATAAAAATAAATTTCTTAAGAAATAATGTTTTTCATTATTTGATATTTATTTTTCTATTAAGATATATTATATATAGTGTACTGTATTTTATTATATATGTATTTAATATACAAAGATATAAAACTTAATTAAAATTTTTGTTTCTTTTGCAAAAATTGATTGTTGACTTCGTATTACTGAACAAACATTATTGTAAAACTTTTATTAAGTCTAATCATATCATAAGATATAATAATATTGAATATATAAAAGTTAAGTTAAAGTTATAGTTACTATTTATATACAATATACTGTAATATACTGTAAACTATATATATATATATATATATATATCGTATAAATACTGTTGATTTAATGTATGTATAAATCGGAAATTAATATGTTTTACAATTAGAGTCTCTCTCTCTCTCTCTCTCTCTCTCTCTCTCTCTCTCTCTCTCTCTCTCTCTCTCTCTCTCTCTGTTCTCTGTATTTATAAATATAATACTAAATATTACATAACGACATATATGTGCCACTCATTAACTTTTATGTTTATCACTTTACTATTCACTAAACATGATTACTATTATACTGTTTAGAGTAATATAACTGTATATCTGTTGCAATAATAATAATAATAATAATAATTTTAATGATAAAAATACTTTTAATGAATACTAGGGCTATACTTTTGTTTGACTATAATATTATATGTATTGTGTCTAATATTATATGTATGCTATACTCTCTGTATTATAACTTTTATTATATACAGTATTATATATATATATATATACAATATATATCATATATAGATGAACAAAATTTTTTAGCTCATTCTCTATTTTTAGTGTTTCAATATAAAAATCGATTTAATACACACTATAGAGTATATGTACTGTACTTTATAATATATTTTCATGTATACTGTAGAATACAGTATGTTATATAACTTATATAATATAAGTATTATACTGTATTATATTTTGCTATGATGTCGCTTATAATAAGCTCCTATTATAGCCATATTATATGGCACATCATCTATGCTCTATGTGCTATCAATTACATCAATAGAGAGAGAGAGAGAGAGAGAGAGAGAGAGAGAGAGCAAACTTTTATATTGAAAGCAAACAAACATTTTTTTTATGATTAAAACCCTATTTTTATGTATGTTTGAGGTGTATATTACATGATAAATAACTCATGTTTTTTTATTACAAATAATGTATATACTAAATAAAATTTATATATATATTTTTTAAAAAATAACAAACAAAAAACTCTTAATAATCTAAATCCTTGTTGTGTTTTGTTTCCCTGATGTACAGTATTATACAACTTATAATAATAATAATAAATTTGAATAAATATTATTTGCATTAAGTATATCATATACTGTATTTATAATGTATGTTATCTTTATAACTAAATACTCTAAAACAACATAAAAAATAAATGACCCAGAATATAAATTTTGTTATATATATATATATATATATATTATATTAATATAATAAATATAATTTATATATTTAATATACCTTATTGTATTAAATTAGGTCATATTTTATATAAATATATATATATATATATAATTTATTAATTAAATTATGTATTTCTAAAAAATTATATTCTAATATATCCTTTAAATTAATGTTTATAATATATTAGACATAAATAATTTAAATTGATTTTTATTTGAAAATTAGTTGATTTACAATTTAAATATAAAATAATAATAATAATACTTTATATATTTAATGTGACTAATGATATGGATAATTATCATAGATAAGATCAAATAGAGTATATAATAAATATTTAAATGTTTACTAAAAATATATACCATTATATATATTTTGCAATATATAGATTAATCAATTACCAT